TCTCTCTCTCTCTCTCTCTCTCTCTCTCTTTCTTTCTTTCTTTTTTCTTTCATGTTTTTTTTTCTTCTCCACTCACTCCCTTGAAATATTGAAACGCTGGTTTGACGAGCAAGAGTAGGAAAAATAGTACGGGAAATTCCACTCATCTCCTCCCTTTGCAAAAGATTTCATTTCGAAGGAAGAGATATCTCTGTCTTCTTTCTTTCTCACTTCCTTTTTTCTCCATGCTCCTTCTTTCGTTCTTCCTTTCTTTCGTTTTTTTCCTTTTTTTTTATCATTCTAACGCCAAAAGGGGGAGGATGTCCTTTCCATCTCCTCGTTTTCCTCTTCTTACGCTCATTAATCTTCCGGGTCCACCATTTGCTTAAGTTCCATGTGCTAACGCGTTGCTTGAGAAATTGCAGATGCATTGTCCCACCGAGGGTGAATCGATCTTATGCAAGAGATAATCGTTTTGATAAATTTCCTCCTTCGTCGTGACGTCATCTACACGAGAATACTTTAGCATCAACGTGTAGAAGTAAGAAAATATAAAAGGAAATATTATAATACGTCTTGTGTCTAATAATATTCGTTCGAAACATTTAAAAATGTTCTTTTTTCTTCTTTAATAAAAGCAAAGCTAATTTTCTACTTCTTTTTTTTCTTTTTAAACTATTTCACGTAATTTCAGAATAAAAGGTTTTTATGTACAGGTATACGTGAATTACACAAGGAACTCTCAACTCATCACATCTTCTCTTTCTCTCTCTCTCTCTCTCTCTCTCTCTCTCTCTTATCCTTATTGCTTTAATCCGGATTTTAGGTGAATTTGTGCGATTCTATCTAAGAAAGAACGCATTTTCTTTCCATCTTGTTTCGTTCGTGGACGTACCGCCCTTTTAAACGTCCAATTCGGAAAACACACAGGACTCTGATAGAACACGGCCATCGTCGTCTGAGGATATACGGTGGGAGAAATTAAATTAAATTTAGATTAAGTTCAATTAATTAAGCCGCTTCCCCCGTGGGAACTCCACTTCTGTTCCTATTTACGGTCTCCGAAACTCAACTCCCGTGGTGAAAGGAGTACAGCGGCAGACAGAACGGTAAGTGATCCTTATCTAACACCGGATACGAAACTAATCTCTAAGACTTGTATTCAAATCTAACCTCCTTCTCGTATTTTCAACTAATAATCAATATTAAACTTATTTCCGTTTTATCTGAAGGCATATGCAAATAAATTTCATGTGGATCAAAGGGCTGGAATAAAATCTTAAATTGTCAACCGTTTTAATGACAAGAGAAATCCTAAAAGTTAATTTCTAACGATCGCAATAAATGGTAGGAATGAGAGAAATTCCAACAAAATATACGATTACGAGAGATAATCCAAAGGAGCTTTCGGATCGTTCTGTCGGTATCGTAGAAAAGAGTTGGTGGCTTTTGTACAATCGATGAGTTTTCGTGTTTTCCTGTTTTAGAATGAGCACAGAATACAGGGTGTCTCAGTGACATTGTTACAAAACGATATCTTACTTACTTTTAACGATACGAAGAAATTCCAAAATAATACGATATGTAATATTAATTGAAGAAGAAAAAAGCTTCAATAAAACAATTCAAAAATCTTTTTTAAAAGAGACAATAAGAAATAATAGGATTGACATCATAATGCGTATACTCTTTTGAATAAAACAATTAATTCCTTTAGTATTTAAAGGTATCGTTAAAAATAACGGTTATATCTCTGAGAAAAAAAATTATTGAGACACCCTGTATATACAGACACACACACACACATATGTAGCTAGGGCCTATACTGTATGCGTAAACTCTGCTATTTAAGCAAGCAATTATGTCGTATACCGTGCGATCGTAATGGAAGATCGTAATATGGCAATGGCGTCTGTGCCATTACCCCACCTTATAAATTTCAGGAAATTGGCCGAGCCGTTAATTCGAGAGTTACCGGCTACGCATAGCCGGCAATAATGAGACCGGATAGAGAATTAAAATTTTCGAAAAATAAGGGAACAAAAAGTTATTCCCTTTCTACGAGCCTCCTCTACACGGCCTCTTTCGAGGCACCACGCTCGAGTCCAACTAGTTTACGTTACCTTTGCCATTGCAATTTGCATAGGCCGCACACGCTTTGGTTCGATCGTTATTTTCGCGAGCACAGCAACCAGCAGCAGCCTTGCACGCGTTGATTGCTTTTCGGGTGCAACCAAGTGCAACCGAGTTTTGCACTACCTTTTCACGATCTACGATTTGATCGAGCTTTTATTGAAATTTTTGAGAAGTACACAGTTTTTTTTTACTCCCTCCTATTTAAACTCGTTTAGAATTTTATCGATATAAAAGGCGTATATTTGAATAGAAAATAAATAGTATCCATTTTCGGGTAGATTTTATATCTCGGTAAATTACGCCGAACGAAGTTTCATAATTCGAAAATCGCTTTTAGAAAATTTGAATTTAGGATCCCTCTTTGCTAACTTTTGATACCCGGTCTAATTTTTAATTAATGCTTTGCATCAGAAAACTTTCGAATTTAATTAAAAATAAAATCAATAATTCGATAATATATATATATATATTATCATTTTTGATGATATTTGATGATATTATTTTGATGAGCTCTTAATTTTAATAGGAAGATCCTCCGCATCGCAGTTTTTTATTTTTTTCTCAGTCCAATAGAATAAAATTCATACCTCATCATTAATTGATTGTACAGAAAAATGTTCTGGAAGAATTTTGTAGGAAATTTAATGCTCTACAAGAAAGGTATCTTATATTTTTTCCGTAAACCTCACCATTTGAATGACATTGAAGATTTAAGTTTGATTATTTTAAGACAAATTTCATTTTTGTTTATAAATTTTATAACTCAAAAATAAATGACTATTAAAAAATGCGCAATACAAATTTTTGTAGGAAATTAACTACTCTATAAAAATGGTGTCTTATGTTTTGGTTAAATTAAGCGTTCAAAAAATATTCAGAGACAGAAATCAGTACACATGAAAGTTTGATGATGATGAAAGTTTGATATATATATCGTATTATAAATTGTATTTACTTATCTCTAATTTGTTAAACTATAGATTCAACCTGGTGAATTGAGTTTTTTCCTTTCCTTGAAAAACTCATTAAAATTTGTTTTAAATTATTTACGAAATATATTTTACTAACACAACCATTCGAATTTTTCATTTGAAGAAAGCATTAATAAGATCTTTCAATTTTACAAAATATATCTAACAAATACTATAAAGAATAAAAAAAAGAAGTATTATACAATATTTTAGAGTAAACATATGCAATCTTTTAAATGTATAACAATATGCTGATTTGATTTTTAAATAAAATACACTTCGCGAAACTTGATACGAAAGCAGTTTTATTTATTTAATTACACAAGACAATCTGTCTTGTATATTCATATAATGATTATACTTCGTTACTGTATCCAGAAATATGTTTAATATCGTTGACTCAAAAACGTATAAAAAAATATTTATTGAAAATTTTATTTCATAATTTATTACAAAAAGAATTTATTATCGCAAATTGAAATTTACCGTCTACGTAAAGGAGTCAAAACATGAGCGCGTTTAGATGATTCTGAAGGGAAGAGTGAAAAGAAAAGGACGAAGGGTGAAGAACTTAGAGGGGACTCGCGAAACCTCAAGGGTCGCGATAAATGCACGTTCACGTTAATAAAGTCTTATCGGTGGTAAACCATGCGTGTCGACTTAAACTACTGACACACTAATTCGTTATGCTAATTTCAGGGTGTCAAAATGATAGAGCCCTATATAGTCCGCCGGCGCCCTTCTTCTTTAATTATTATACAAGTGAATACATCGAACATGCGCTTAAATAAAAAGCTATTCATTTAATAATCATAATATAATGTTGCTTGTCTGTTTCTCCATCATATACAAAATGTATTTAGATGGGAGGTAAAGCCGAAGAGGGAGGGAGTTATTGTAGTTATAACAAAATAAGTCGAAAAAGATGAGATCTAAGATCTCATTTTTAAAAAATCATATTTAAAAATTTGAAATTTTATAGCTTACAATTATAAAATTTATTATAGTCGTAGAAGGAATCGCACTTAATTAATCTCAAAATTATATTACTTTCTGTTTAATAATAATGATTTGAAATTCATTGATTATAATAATTAGCTGCTGCTGTTGTATCATTGTCATAATTCAACTTACTTAAAGATCGATTAAACATAAGAGAAATAAGTCGTATAGTTGAAGAAAAAAAACGCAAAAATTACAGGATAACAACGAATATAAACATGTAAACGAAAGAAAATGTTTTTATTTGATAAGTTATTGGAGAGATAGTTCAGTGTAAGCGAACTTCAAAGAATTTTCAAACAATGTTATTCCTTTTTAGTATTAATTTTTTTACATGTAAAATCATCCCTTTCCCCTCAACAGAATACATCCTGTATATCTGAGAATTTTCAAATATTTTTGCATTTACATAATCGCGCGTGTCAGAATATTTTTATTCATATATATTATATATAATTATCAATTCGTCTATCTTTATTAGCCTAATATTTGTTGAAAAAATATTTATTATGATTCGTATAAATTATTTTACACGATAAAAGAGAAGAATATGTTATTAATTATTTTCGATTCTTTTTTAAAGACTTATTATTAGTACAAGCTTACTTTTCTACAATTACATTTTTTTTAAGAGAACATTACATTTTTAAAAGAATAAAACTAATGTACGAAATAATATTGTCTCATTGTATAATAAGAAGACGAAATAATATAAAATAAAAAAATAAAAGAGAGAGAGAGAGAAGTATTTCAATAATTACAAGTACCATTAAGAAAATATAAAATTACTTTATATAAGAGATTCCTATTTTTTTTTTTTAAGGTAAATAAGATGGAAAAGCTTAATTTCGCAAATTTAAATCGATATACA